ATGTTTGTCATTTTGAGATTCATCCTAATGAAAACCTGAAAACTGTACATGTGTATATCGGTAAAGGATGTGCTTATGTGAGAACTCCTTGTGATTCTGTATTTGTGGATAATGGTACTGTAGATACAAGTAATCACTCTAGTTTCTGTACTCGTAATTTTGTCAAAATGATGAGCTGCAGTTTTAATCAGGCTGTAAAAATTAATAGAATGTATAATCTAATTATGCTTTGATTCAAGACTTGCAGCGACTTCCATTGGTGCGAACCTCGCGCTGGTAAAGAAACTGTTACAACGTGAAGACCTGAGACACTTGCTGGAAGGAGCCTGAGAAAGTGGACAAAAGACTTTGATTAGTGTCCATCACAGTGCGGAAGAAATACATTGTGTGATGGAACAGGCGGAGAGAGACGGAGAACATCCATGGGGGGTGGTCACCCACCTTTTGGGTGGTCACCAACAGCCACTGGAATTCTCAACCAAGTGCTTCACCCTGTTGCTCTTTTGTTGATGTTAACCCTTTTGCTTTTTGTTCTGGTGACTGTGTTGTATGTTAGACTTTGGATGACTATGAAACAATTACCCTACCAGCTTCCCCCACTAATCCTGGACAACCCCCGTGCTGCAAACGTACCAGACGATGCACACAGTACAAAAGTGTGAAACGGGCTCAGTTTGGACATCGTGGAGCTTGAGTGACCACAGCACGGGGTGGATTATGAGAGAAGGTGGCTGGAGGTAAAATTAGTGGAAACTGAGTTCTACTCACGTCCTAACAGAAGTTATAACAGTAGGGAAATTATGGGGTGAAATGCAGCTGCTGCTCCCTGGATGGGCTGCAGGGGCAGCTCCACGATGGTTCCCCACAGAAGAGGCAGCACCTGCTCAGGGGGTGGGATGGAGTGGAGATACCGTGGGCAGGGTCTGTGGGAATCCCTGCAGGGAGGGGAACTTTGTGGTGCTTTACAGCTGATAAACCTCCAAGGGATGAATGGAGAAGATGTCCTGCTGCTGAGCCAACAACTGTGGGGAAATCGCTCTCCTCAGATGATCTTGGTTCATTAAAACCTGACTGTAATATTAACATACCCCTCCCTCCCAGAGTTACCCCCCTCCAAGGTATGACCACCCCCCACTGGAAATGAGCTCTACATTTTATTGACTGTGTCTTTAAAGGTGAAGTGAGAGAATTTTACACCAGTCAGCAACAAAGATATTTATGATTAAAGTCACTCAAGCTCCACCTAAACATAATTATAAAGTACAGAAGAAAGTTGAGAACGGGGAAAAAGTCAGGGAAGACTCCACATTAACTGCTGGGATCAATCAATGGGCTGGATCTATCTGTGCCCCACAAGGACCTCTTGGGTAGGAGCTGCACCCCCTGCACACTGAACACTTTTCCTGGGGCTTAGGGCTTGTCTGGGTATTGCTTTGGATATGTTTTTGTGGTCAGGAAAACTCCCCACACTAAGGGTCAGGGAGAGCTCCCCTTTTCACGTAACACCTTGTGAGCACACGCAGAGATAGGATGAGTGGAAGGGGACAGGCAGAGCCAGAGAAATATTTAATTTCTCTTTCACAGCATTTACCCTCATTCACAAGTATGTAAATCAGAGCTACTCCCCCCTCCTTCCCTGGACACTCACGGGCACTTTTTTCAGCCTGGAGATGTGGTGCATGTCCAAACACAGAGCGATGAGACTCTCCAAGAAAGATGGGAAGGTCCTTACATTGCAGTGTTGAGAACATACATAGCAGTGAAAGGAACAGGAATCAAATTTTGGATCCATCACAGGTGTGGAAAAGGTCCCTGAGTCCAGACAAGATGCATGGGATTCACATCCATCTGGAAACGTGAAGTTCTGACTGACTGAGGATATAAAAGTACAAAGAGCTCTGTCATCTTTTTAATCTCTTTATGTAACCTAAAATGTACAAGTTAAGTGCTTTTATAACATGCTGTTGTTTTATGGTGATCCAAAGAAACCTGATTTTACAGCTTGTCCAATCATTTGGGAGAATCCACAACTCCATCCATGGAACTGCTGCTTTCCCAGTGCCACAATCAGCTGAGGACCCTTTGGATTGGGGAATTTTAAGATTAGATTTAAATCTAAATTTCACACCTGTGTTGGGTAATGGTTCTGGGATTTTAAAACTCCCCCTGAAGAAAGAGAAGACATTTGGACCAGGAAAATGGTTCCTGTGGATGGATAATCACACCCTAAATTGACCCTGGCACGTGACTGACTGATGCTGTGCAAAGGGACACATCCCTCCTTCAGTCCCCCAAACTCCGTGAGGATTTTCCACGGGGCTTAGACATGTCCCAAGAATGAGAAGGGTCAGAGAATGGGAAGTGGTATTATTTGCAAACCATTTCTTGGGGCATGGAAGGAGTTGGGAACTGGAGAAAGAGAATCCCACCATCAAACATTGCTGATGACAGAATGAGAGGCACAAAAACCACTCACAGTTGAATTGCATCTGAGAATTTAACTGCTCAACTTCCAAAATACAAATACAAAGATTGGGACCAATAATAAAAGCTATTTGGACAAATACAGTTAAGGAAAATATCCCTATTAGGTGTAAAATCAACCAAATTCCATCAGTGGGACCTGCAGTTGGGTGAGTGATGACAGGACGTGGACAACCCAGCTGCCTTTCCAGGGGAAACTGAAAAGACAACTTTAGGAATATTAACTTTATGTCCTTTGTGCAGAAAAAGGTCTTTGGAAAAAAATTATCATAGAATCACAGAACAGTTTGGGCTGGAAGGGATCTTAAAAGTCATTGGTTCCACCCCTATGACACAGCAGGGGCACCTCCCACTATTCCAGGGTGCTCCAAGCCCCATCCAACCTGGCCTTGGACACTTCCAGGGATCCAGGGGCAGCCACAGCTTCTCTGGGCAACCTGTGCCAGCCCCTCCCTACCCTCACAGGGAGGAATTCCTTCCCCATCTCCCATCTCTCCCTGCCCTCTGGCACTGGGCAGACATTCCCTGTGTCCTGTCCCTCCAGGCCTTGTCCCCAGTCCCTCTCCAGCTCTCCTGGAACCCCTTTAGGCTCTGGAAGGGGCTCCAAGGTCTCCCTGGATCCTTCCCTTCCCCAGCTGAGCCCCCCCAGCTCTCCCAGCCTGGCTCCAGAGCAGAGGGGCTCCAGCCCTGGCAGCATCTCCGCGGCCTCCTCTGGACTCTCTGCAGCAGCTCCACGTCCTTGTGCTGCTGTTGCCCAGGGCTGGAGGCAGCTCTGAGGGGGCAGAGGGGCAGAATTCCCCCCTCCCCTTCTGTCCACGCTGTGGGATCAGCCCAGCACACAGTGGGGTTCTGGGCTAGGGTATGTCCAGCCTCTCACCCACCAGCACCCCAGAGTCCTTCTCCCCGGGGCTGCTCTTGAATCTGTTCATCCCCCACCCTGGATTGGTCCCAGGGGTTGCCTGACCCAGGAGCAGCACCAGCACTTGGCCTTGTTACATCTCATGAGCTTCCCATGGGCCCAGTTCTGGAGCTTGTCCAAGTCCCTCTGGATGGCCCTGTCCTTCAGGAGTCTCATCTGCACCCTCAGCTTCCCCTCTGGTAGAGCTATTACCTGGCTCAAGAAGTTGCCCTCCATGCATTCCAGGCATCTCCTGGATTGTCTACAGCTCACTGTGCCCTGTAGGGGTGGTTGAAGTCCCCCAGCAGGATAAGAGCCTGCAAGCTCTTATGGGGAAGAATAAAGAAATAAGGATGATCCCTGGAGACGTCCTTGAGCGGGAGCTGCAGCAGGGTGGGTGTTAGAATCCATGCTCAGTGCAAAGATCACCTCTTCCCAAAATCCATATAGAGTTACAATTTAACTGGACAAGCATAGGGATCAGCAAATGCCAGGGGGCTTCTCGAGGAATAGGCTGGGCAGGGAGGGCAGTGATGGGTGACAAGCCTCTGGAGACAGGCCACAAGGAAGAAAACTGCCCAAATTGGAGAAAAACACAGGTGGGGCTCTCCTGAGGCTGGGGAAACGGATGCTGAGGGGCTGCTGAGTGCTTGTGAGTCCCTCTCTGTCACCTCTGCAGGGTGACAGGAACAGAAGGACATCCACGAGGGGTGGAGAGAGGCAAATGCTGCACCCCAAATGGCTGGTGTGGGAATGGAGAGGCTGAAGGCCCTCTCAGTCCCCAGGGACCACCCAAACCCTCCCCGGCGCGTTTCTGGTGTGCGAGGGAGCAGATGGTGATGGGGAGCAGCCAGGCTGGGGTCAGTCCCCAAAGCCACATTGCCTCTGCCGTGAGGGACAGCTTGGGGATGCAGGAGAGCAGAGATGTCCCTTTCCCTGTCGCCCATCCTCCAGGACGCTGCTCCTCAGCCCCCGGCCAGCACGGGGGCCCCAGATGTGCTCCTGGTCTACCGGGAGCTGGGGGGCTGAGGGACCAGCCCTTGCTTCCCCCTCAGTTGGGCAGGGGGTGGCAGTGGGGACCCCCCCGTGGAGTCCAGCCCCAGGGGACCCACCCAGCCCGAGGACCACCGGCCCCATGTGCATCATCGGCCGCATCAGCCGTGACGCCAGGGCGGCGGGACGAGGCGGGTGACGCAGCCACTGCTGCCACTGCCCTCCCAGGGGGCCCGGCCGCGGTTCGGGGGGCGTGGGCCCCGACCCGGCGCTGATGTGGCCGTGTGTGTACTCAGCCAGCTCATCCCGGCAGTGTTTGCTTGCAGCACCCAGGGGACGGTGCTGCCGCGGGCGCGCAGCCGGGGCTGGAGGGGCGGGGGGTGCCTGTGGATCCTCGGCTCCAGGCAGGGCTGTGGTTGGGTGGGGGGCAGAGCAGGGGCCGAGGTGTGAAACTCCCGAGTTGCACTGGGGCTCTGGGGTCGCAGCCCATCGTGTGGGGTTCTGGGGGCACCATTGGGTGGGGGAGCAGGGGCTGCACTGGGCTGGACCCCATGGGACCAGTGTGGAGGCACCACAGGGGCAGCCTCTGTGCCCACCCCACCCACACACTGCACCAGAGATGATGTCCTTAACACACGTTTAATGTTGGAGAGGGGCAATTTGAGAAATTCCAGCAGCAGGGATGGAGCTCGAGTGGGAGTGCCAGGGATGGCCATAGCCAGGGGTGCCAGGGATGGCCATAGCCAGGGGGTGACAGAGACAGCCATAGCTGGGGGTTGCCAACGTTGCCCCACGGTGTCACCTCAGTGCTGACCTATGTGGAAAAGTGGCCTCAGCCCTGTGCAGTGGGGACTGCAGGACCCCAGCCCCTGAAGCAGGGAGACAGGGATGGCCTGGGGAACACCTGAGGTGTGACCCCTCCAATCCCCATCTCCACCCCCATGCCCCCCAAGGAGGTGTCTCCTCTCCCCCACAGCACTCCATGGCTCTGCCCATCTCAGTCCCCATCAGGGTCTCACCATGGGGGGAACTCGCTGGCTTCTGCCTCGGCCCCACATCTGCAGAGGGAAAGGGGGAACAAGATGGAGACAGGGATGCCCCGGCACGCTGCAGGACCCACACACCGGCATGCAGGCCATGGCACAGCTGCAGGCCCGGCACTGGGCACGGCATGGCAGAGCATGGCACTGGGCAGGACACAGCACCAGGCAGGCATGGCAGACACTCACCCTCGGCAGCTTCAGGCGCCTCCAGGCTGTCCAGCCGATCCTCCTCCGTCGCAGCCTCGCTGCCCTCCCCGGGTCCATCACCCTCATCCTCACCCAGCGGCTCTGCAGGCAGGGGACAGCTCAGCTGGGACCCTTCCCCCTGCAGCATGGGGACAGCCCAGGACACCCCAGGAGGGACACGACCAGCCCAGGACACCTCAGAAGGGAGTGTCCACCAGCCCAGAACATCCCTAGAGGGACTTGACCAACCCAGCATGGGAGCCAGGAGCCTAGGACAGGGTTGACCCTGAAAGGTCCCTGGGCAGTGCTGGGCAGGGGGGTGTCACATCCCCATTCCTGTGTGTGAGCCCCTCACAAGGTGTCCAGTGGTGAGAGGATCTGCTTGTCTGAGGGCTGGGCACCCCGAGCAGTCTGGGCACTTGTCCTGGTGCTGGCACCTGTCTGGAACTCGATGGTCCTCAGCATCTCGGCCACGTAGTCCACATTGATGGAGAAGTGATCCATGTTCTCATAGCCAGGCTCAGGGCGGCTGCTCATTGATGCCTTGGACATGTCCGTGATCCTGCGGGGCAGGCAGACCCTCGGAGCTGTGGGGTCCAGCACCCACGGGGCCCTCAGCCACAGCCCAGCAGGGACAGACACAGCTGTGACATCCCCCCTGCCCCCTGTGCTCCCAGCCCTGCTCCCTCCACTCACTTTTTCAGGAGTTCCTTGGAGTGCTGTGAAGGAAAGCAAGGAGGAATCAATATCTCCTAGACATCACCCCCACCCCAGCACATCCCAGGGGCATCCCCAGATCCTTTGGGGGTAACCACAGCCCTCCCCATGTACAGCCCTGCAATGCAGCCCCAGGTCCCACAGGGATCTCTGGCCCCACCACAGTCCCAGGGCAGCCACGGCCCCCGGAAGTTTCTGTCCCCCTTCCCGCCCTGTGCCCCGGCTGGACCTGCAGGTACACGGCCATCTGGGGCTCCTCCATGGCCTGGATGGCAGACTCCACCAGTTTGGAGGAGGCCTCCAGGTGGTCTCCGTACTGGCGGATGAGCCCACGGACACGCTGCAGCTTGGCCTCCTGCTCAGCTGCGATGCTCTGCAGCAGCTCCTTCTTCCGCTCCTCCAGGATCCCGTACAGAGCGTCGAACCGCAGCCCCACGTGCTGCTTCTGCCGCCGACTGTTCTCCTGCGGGACGAGGGTCAGGGGCTGCACTGTGTCCCCCCAGCACAGCCCTGGGGCCAATCATCCTAGCCCCACCGGGTTCCCCCCACCGGCACAGCCCCAGGGCTGGACCTCCCGGCCCCCACCTCGATGGTGTGGCAGATCTCCTCCATCTGCGTGATGATGGCCTGGATCCGGTCATTCCCCGCCACCAGCATGGCGATGCCGTCACTGAGCTCGCTCTGGGAGGGAAGGGGAGCGGGTGTGAGGGCAGCTGCACGGGTACCCCCAGCCCACCAAGGGCTCCCGGGGCCCCTCACCTTCTGGCGCTGGTAGACGGCCGGCAGTGGGGCCACCTCGCAGTCCTTGTGCGCTCCGAACACCTTGCAGAGGGAGCAGGTGGGCACCTCGCAGCGCAGGCAGTAGATGTTGATCCGCTCGTCCTCGTGCTCCTCGCACATGAGGTGCTGCTCGGCCTTGTTGTGCAGGGGTCTGAGGAGGGTCGGGTGTTCAGTCAGACATCCCCAGCCCCAAGGAACACCTCCAACCCCAGAGATGTCCCATCTCCCAGGGACCCCCCCATCTCCAGAGACACCCCGGCCCCAGAGATACTTCTGGTCCCCAGGGATACCCCTGGCCTCAGGGATGCCCCAGCCCCAGTAACACCCTTACTCCCAGAGTCACTCCCAGCCCCAGGGACACCCCAGCACCATGTGGGCCCCATGACCCCTCCGGCTCCAGCTGCCCCCAGCTCTGCATGCCCAGTCTTCCATGGGCTCCCCTTACCCCGCTGTGCTTGCCCACCCTTGAGGAACCCCAGTGCCCCCCTGTGCTCCCTTCCCCCGGGGGTCTTGCCCCGCCGCGCCCCCGCACCGGGCCGACTCCTGCTTGTAGATGTCGATAATGTTCTCCACGAGCAGGTTCCGCTGCAGCCCGTAGACCCCGTGCCGGTCCAGCACCACCTCGTGCCGGCACGACGGGCACCGGAACCGTCCTCCCGACGGCACCGCGCTGGAACCCCGCGACTGCCACAGCGGATTGGAAGCCTGGGAGGGGCACGCGGGGGGTCGCGACGGCGGCACCGCGCACCCCCGGTACCCCGGCAGACCCCGGCGGCCCCCGGCAACTCCCATCCGGGGACCGAGACCCCGCAGGCTGCGCGCCCCGCACCCCCCAGGCACGGGCAGAGACACGGACACAGGCGTGGAGACAGAGATGGAGACGGGCACGGGCATGGACACAGGTGGGGGCACAGACACGGCCCCCGCTCCCCCCCTCCGCCGGCCGGGAGCGGCCCCGAGCTCAGCTCGGCTCAGCCGGAGGTCCCGGCGGCCGGTCCCGGGGCCGGTGCCAGGCCAGGTCTCCCTCGACAAGGGGGTCCGGTGTTCGTGGTGCCGCTCGCCCCCCCGCATCCCTGGCCTGGGGTCCCGGGGTTCCCGGTGCCTTCCCCGCCCCACCGGCCGGTCCCACCTGGAAGACGTCGTTGGCGCACTTGCGGCAGAGGTTGTGCTGGCAAGGCAAGATGACCACGGGCTTGGAGAACATCTCCAGGCAGATGGGGCAGATGAGCTGCTTCTCCAGGCTCTCCATGCTCCGCGCCTCCGCCAGCAGCGGCTTCAGCCCCACCGCGAAGTTCATGGCCGCGACGCCGGCCCAGCCCGGCCCGGCTCTGCCCCGCGGTCCCGCTCCGCTCCGCTCCGGCCGCCCGTTACCCACTCTGTCGCGGCCCCGGCCCCGGCCCCCGGCGCTAATTTTAGCCGCCCCCGCCCCGCCAGGGCCGCAGCTGTCGGCGGCGTCGGGTGACACTGAGTCACGGCGCCGCGGCGGGGGCCACCGGCCCTGCCCGCCCCCCGGGACCGCCTGAGCCCACCAGGGACTGGCTGGTCCCGGCACCATCTGACCCCAGGACCGGCCGATACCCTGAGACCAGCTGAGGCCCTGGGATGGGCTGAGCCCTGGACTGGCTGAACTCTGGGGACTGGCTGACCCCCAGGGACCAGCAACCCTCTCCACCATGTGCATCCCACCCCATCCCAGCCCGGAGCTCACGGCCCAGGCAGCCCCAAGTGCCCCAGGTGAGCAGTGCTGCTCCCCAGGGCTCCCCCGCTGCCTCCCACCCGGGGAGGACGAGGTCCCAGGGGACCAGGGCTGGCTGGTGCCAGGGCCATAGAGCCAGAGGGGAGCAGGGCCCAGGCAGAGTGGGATTGGGAGTAATGCCCCTCCTGCAAGCAGCTGGGCCAGGGGAGGTTGGGATCCCCCAGACCCCACAGTTCAAGCCCAGTGTCAGCAGGGTGGCAATGCTGGTGCCAGGGCCCCTCTGTCTCCACTCACCCTGGAACACTGGCTATATTTAGGGGGTGAGACAGAGCCCATGCAGCTGCAGATAGAGGCAGTGACCAGGGGTGGGAGGAAAGGGCAAGGGGCTCACTCTGTCCCCCTCAGCCCCCTCCCTGAGAGCCCTAGACCTCCACGGGGCCACAGCTCCCCAGAGAGCAGGGCAGGAGCAGGGGGCCTGGCCAGGCAGTGGGGAGCAGGGCTCCAGGACTGCAGCAGCAAGGAGGGAAGAGAAGAGAGCCTATGGGAGCCAGCAGCAGGGGACACAGAGCGGTTCCAGGTGGGTGGCAGGACACGAGTGACACTCACCCCACTCAGGACATGACCTGCCTACCCCATTCAGCTCACCACCCCATGGGACCCATGGGCACAGCCCCCAGCACAGGCAGGACGAGGCAGAGGCACATCCTGCTGCAGAGCATTCCAGCAGCCCCAGATTAGCCCAGGCAGACACGTGCTCCCCTCCCGTCAGCCTTTAATGGTGCCCACAAGACCTAGAGGGCAGAGGAAAGGGGTACAGACAGCAGCACCCCGACCCCACAGCAGCGTTTGGCACCCAGCACCCATCGGGAGGGTCCCATGAGGGGGGAGCGGGCTCAGCCCAGCCCCAGAGGTTACAGTGTTAATGGTCTCGGACAGCTCGGCTGCCTCGCCTGAGCTACAGAGCCGGGCCTGGAGCGCTCTCTGCTTGAGCTCAGTGCCCGGTGGGGCACGGCAGCGGGCGAGGCACTGGGGGGGTTGCAGCAGGGTGGGCTCTGGGCCACCACCACCACCAGTGCTGGGACGCAGGGGCATCGCCCCGGAGCTTGAGCAGGGGTCCGGGAGCCTCTGCATTGATGCTGGCCAAATTAACCTGAGATTATACCCCTGCTGGGGCTGGAGTGCCAGCCCAGAGGGCGGGACCAGGGTCCCGGAAAGTGACAGTCCCAAAGGAGGATCCGTGCCTCGAGTCCTGGGGGAGCCAGCGGGACGGGGTCAGCCTCAGGCATCAGCACTGGTGCTGGCAGCCGGCAGCGGCTCCGTGCTGGCAGGCGGGGGCTGCGCCACAACAGGGATTTGTGGATCTGAAAAGGAAGAGCTGCAGATCAGTGGCTCGGCCCCACCCCGTGGTGCCAGCGAGCAGGAATCTGGGATGTCCCCATACCCCTGCAAGGGCTCCCACAGCCCAGAGCTCCCACACCCAGAGCAAGGGCTCCCACACTGCCAGCGCAGAGCCCTGTGGCAGTGCCCCCACCCCACAGAAGCCTGTGGCAGTCACCCAGCATCAGCCCCATCGACACCAGCATTGCCAGTGCCAGAGAATGGAGCCAGCCTGGAGCATGGCTGCTCTTCCCATGTTCCATACCCCAGAGAACACAGGCGAAGGGTCTCTGAGCCACAGGCCGATTCAGGGGGGCCCTTTCCCAGGGGCAAATGGGGAAGGAGAAAGCGTCCCCATGGCCCATCCAGTGGCTCCCTCTGTCACTGTCACCAGCCCTCGCCCACACAGAAAACACCGAGGGCTGGCTGGCTGTGGCTAAATCTGACCCAAGCCCTGAGCCAGAGCTCCATCCCCCATGTGAGATGCAACAGGGGGAGACCCCAGAGCCCTCAACAAATCAAATGCAGGCAGTTCCAGCTGCTGGGGCTCCAGCCTGACCCAGCCCAACTCACCACTGTCCTCCGCACGCATCTGAGCCTCCAGGTCCTTGGGGTCCACGTACTTGTAGGACTCTTCCTCCTTGGGCGGGCAACATGTCCCGCAGCAGAAGAAGCAGCAGCAGCAGCAGCAGCAGCAGGTGAGGGCACTGCAGCACAGCGCCAGCGCCTGCAGGAGGGACGGAGGGGCCGTGAGCTCCCCTGAGCCCTGTCATGCTGGTCCCGTGAGCCCAGTCCAGCCCCTGGCCTGCCGGGAGAGACGGGGGCCCACTGAACCCATGGATCCGGATGACGCCGGCTCACCTTGAACCACCACTTGGACATGAGAAAGTAGTGCCGGACGGCATCGTCACCGAACTGCTCGGCCACATAGAGGCCGAGGGAGCCGTACTGGTCGTAGAGGCGGCGCTTGTCCGCGTCGCTCAGCGTGGCGTGGGCGCTGTTGATCTCCTTGAACCGCTCAGCCGCCGCCGGGTCATCGGGGTTCTTGTCCGGGTGGTACTTGAGGGCCAGTTTCCTGCGGGGCGCGGCGGGGGGACCCCCGGCATGGGGTCACGGCCTCGCTCCCCGGGACAGACCCAGAACCCCGGGATGGGAGCAGGACCCCCGGGATGGAAGCACAGCCTCGCCCCTCGGGACAGACCCAGGCCCCCGGGGTGGGACCGGGACCACCCGCGCGGGATCCCGGCCGCGTTCCCAGGACGGACCCACATGCCGAAGCTGGCGGGACGACTCCCCGGCCGGTCCCCTCCCCGGACCCCACCGGACCCCCCCCGTACCGATAGGCCTTCTTGATCTCCTCGGGGGAGCTGCCCTTCTGCAGCCCCAGCACGCGATACAGGCTCTCCCCGACCCGGGACAGCTTCCGCTGCGGCCGCGGGGGCTCCGCCATGGCCGCGCCGAGGGCACCGGGGGTCGGAGTGGACGCGGCACCGACTGCCCCGGACCGGCCCTGCCCGCGCCCGCCGCCGCTTCCGCCCGCTCTGCGCAGGCGCCGCCCGCGCCCCGGGACGGAGGGCACGGCCCGGACAGCCCGCACCGGGAACACCCCGCACCGGGAACACCCGCACCGGGACACCCCGCACCGGGAACACCCCGCACCGGGAACACCCGCACCGGGAACACCCCGCACCGGGAACACCCGCACCGGGACACCCCGCACCGGGGACACCCCGCACCGGGACCACCCCGCCCCGGGGACACCCCGCCCCGGGGACACCCGCCCCGGGGACACCGGCCCGGACAGCCCGCACCGGGAACACCCGCACCGGGAACACCCGCACCGGGACACCCCGCACCGGGAACACCCCGCACCGGGACACCCCGCACCGGGAACACCCGCACCGGGACACCCCGCACCGGGAACACCCCGCACCGGGAACACCCCGCACCGGGGACACCCCGCACCGGGGACACCGGCCCGGACAGCCCGCACCGGGGACACCCCGCACCGGGGACACCCCGCACCGGGGACACCGGCCCGGACACCCCGCACCGGCCCCGGACACCCCGACCCCAGACACCCCGCACCGGCCCCAGGGACACCGGCCCAGACGCGCCGTCCCGCCCCGGGAACACCCCGCCCCGCCCGGCTCCGGGACAGCCGTGCTGCCCCCGGCCCGGTACCGGGACACCGCCCGCTCCGCTCCCGGCCCCGCGGCGGTAGGAGGCGGCACACGGGGGTCGCGCTGCTCCTTTATTGGTACAAAACGGCGGCGGGGGCAGCGCGGGGGGTGACGGCACGGCCGGGCCCCAGGACAGCGCTGGGGGCACGGGCACACCCCCGGCCCCGGGGCCTCCTGCTGCCGCCGGGGCGGGGCGAGGCCGCCGCTGCCCTTTGGAAGAAGAACCTGAGCAACAAGGGCAGCACCGGGACGCCTCACCGCCCCCGGGGACAGCGGCTCCGCTCTGCGCACCGGGGCTGGGCCACCACCGGGAGAGCAGCTAGATGCCAACCCCGCTACTCCCGGGGCCACAGGGTGGGGACGGAGTGCGGACTGGCAGGCATGGAGTGTGGATCGGCGGGGAGACAGTGGGAACATGAGGTCCCAGTCCCTGATGTCGGGGGTCCTGCTGGAACCTGGGGCTACCCACAATAAATACAAATAAATACGGATTCCAGGCACAAAGCTCGCCCAGTGCCCAGTGGGTACCAGGCCCTGTCCCCCTCCTCCCCTGGGGAGAGGGTAAGCAGCCCCTCAGGCACAGCTGTGGGGAGACCACCACTCCCTCTGGAGGCACGGCTGGCCAGGGCCCCAGAGGCAGGGCTCAGATGGCAAGGAATGTGCTGAAATGTCCCCTCTCCCTGGGCTGCATGAGGCCATCCCTCCTCCTCCTCCTCCTCCTCCCTGGGGAGGATTGGTCCTTTGGGGTGGAGGGAGGCTGGCAGCGAGGGGCTTGTTCTGCAGGTCCTGAGAACCGGGGGCTGCCAGGTGGGCACAGGCTGGCAGGATGGAGCCCCTCCGGGGGGGCAGGGGTGGGGGCCAGCCCTGCAGCCAGCCTGGCCAGTGGCCCCACGGCTGACCAGCTCAGCAGTTCACGCCGTCACTCTCACACCAGCCCGAGGGGCCATCGGTTCCGAAGTATCTGTCCCCAAAGTTACCTGGAGGAGGAGGGGACAGAGTGAGGGGATGGCAGCACCGACCCCACTGCAATCTCCACCAGAG